TGGCTTGTGTACTTATTTTCTTAATTTTTTTTTAAGAAGCAGGAAGTGGCATCAAGTTTGATGTAGTCCAGTTTATCCTTTTTTTCTGGCTTTTATATATATATATATATGAAATCTTTGTCTGCTTTGCAAATATATTTTCCTAATTTATTCACTGTATAGTTTAGCTTTCATGTTTAGATCTGTGCTCTAGCTCAAGTTAATTTTTATCTATGCTGTGAAGTAGAAATTGAGGTTCATCTCTTTCCATATGGGTATCTTGTTGTTCTAGTACCATTTACTGAAGACTTTCTTTCCCCTATTGAGTTACTTTCGCGTCTCTGTAAAATAATGACTCGATCAAAGAAGTTTGTGGTTCTTTTGAACTCTCTACTCTTTTGATTTAGTTTCTACTAGTATCACATGTCTTTGATTATTGTAGTTTTAGAGTAAGTCATGAGGTCTGCCAATGTAGTGTCTCTTAGCTCTTTTTCAAAATTATTTTGGCTCCTCTGGATCGTCTGCATTTTTATTTAAGTTTTAGAATCATCTGGTCGGTGTCTGAAATTGCTGGGATTATGTTTGAGAACATGCTGACTCTGTAAATCACTGGGGTGAGAGTCTGTCATAGTAATATGGGATTTTCTGTGTGGTCATAGTTTTCTTTCCACTTACATTTGGTCATCTTCATTAGCTCTTTTCAGGTTTTAGGTCTTAGATCATTTTAAGTTGATCCCAATGTCTTCTGTCTTTTTGGTTTTGGTTTTTAAAGCTTTTGTTAATAGAAATTCAATTTATTTTCTTTTCTTGTTGCTAATAATAGAGTACAGTTGGTTTTTAATTGTCTTTATATCTTGTGACTTTGCTAACTCCACTTATTTCTAATAGTGTCTTTGTTCATTTCTAGGAAGCTTTAAACAGTCCAACTGAATAGAGACAGATTTAGTTTTTTCTTTACAAATTCATTTTTCCTTACAATTTTTTATTGTCTTACTGCATTGGCTGGACTCCCAGTACAACGTCAAATAAAAGTGGAAAGAATAGAAATAATTTGTCTAGCTTCATTATTTATGAGGAGAGCATTCAGTATTTTACTGACAAGTGAAAAGTTACATACAAGATTTTTATTATCCTTTACCAGAATGAGGATTTTTTTTTTTGTATGCATAATGTACTATGAGTTTTTAGTTGAAAGTATGTTAAATTTTGCCAAATGCTTTTATGCTATGTTGACATGATCATATGCTATGCATCCTTTATTCTGTTATTATAGCAAATTACCTAGATTAAATTTCAGATGTAAAATCTACTTTGCATTCTTGAGTAAACTCCTGTGATCATAAGATATTAGTGTATTTATAGGAGATCGCTGCATTCCATTTGATAGTATTCAAGATTAGTTTCATGTTTGTGTTCATCAAAGATCAGCCTGAAAATGATTTCTCCTCTCCTTTGTAATATTGTTATTTAACTAAATTGTTATATTGTCCTCATAAAATATTACAAAGTTTTCCTTCCTCTTGTATCTTCTTAGTGATTTTATATGAGATTGGTATTATTTATTCTTTAAATGTTTAATGAAATGTACTGATGTTGATATCTTGGGCTGGAATGTACTTTGAGGAAAGGTTTGTAATTATGAGGGATTCAGTCTTTCAATAGATCTAGGGTCTTTCCATGATCTCTTTCATCTCCTGTTAATTTTGACAGGTTCTATTTTTTCAAGTACTATACCCATTTTTGGAGTCCTGGTGTGGCACTGTGGGTTAATGTGCTAGACTACAAAGTTGGTTTGAACTAAAAGGTTGGTGGTTCAAGCTTCACCAGCTGTTCCTTGGAAACCCTATACAGGATAGCTGTGGGTCGGAACCGACTCGAAGGCACTTAAAAACAACAACAACATACCCATTTTATCTACATTTAAAAATTTTAATCGAGGTTTTTCATTATATCCTTATTATTCATTTTTAGAGTCTGGTATTTCTGCTTCATTTCTGATATTTGCAAATAGTACTTTCTCTTCCATTTCCATTTGTAAAAATTAAGTCTTGCTGTTGTTGTTGTCAGGTGCCATCAAGTTGGTACCCACTCATAGCGACCCTATGCACGATAGAATGAAACACTGCCCAATCCTGGGCCAACCTCATAATTGTTGCCATGCTTGAGCCCATTGATGCTGCCACTCTGCCAGTTCATCTCACTTGGGGTCTTCCTCTTTTTCTCTGGCCCTCCAAACATGATATCCTTCTCCAGTGACTGGCCCCTCCTGACAATTACTCCGAAGTATGAGAGACGAAGTTTGGCCATCCTGGCCTCCAAGGAGCACTCTGGCTGCACTTTTTCCAATGCAGATCTGTTGATTCTTTTGGCAGCCCATGGCACTTTCAATATTCTCCTCCAACATCATAACTCAAAGGCATCAGTTCTTCTACGGTCTTCCTTATTCACTGTCCAGCTTTTGCATGCATATGAGGTTATTGAAAATACCATGGCTTGGGTCAGGCACACCTTAGTCCTCAAGCTGACATCTTTGCTCTTCAACACTTTAAAAAGGTCTTGTGCAGCAGATTTGCCTAATGCAGTATGTCGTTTGATTTCTTGACTGCTGTTTCCATGAGTGTTGATGGTTGATCCATGAATAATGAAGTCCTGGACAACTTAATTCTTTTCTCTGTTGATAAGAATGTTGTTTATTGGTCCAGTGGTGAGGACATTTTTTTTTTTTTTTTAACACTGAGATGGAATCCATAATGAAGGTTGTGGTCTTTGATCTTCATCAGTAAATATCTTAAATCCTCTTCACTTTCAGCAAGAAACATTGTATCATCTGCATATCTCATTGTTAATGAGTCTTCCACCAATCCTGATGCCACATTTTTCTTCATATAACCCAGTTTCTCAGATTATTTGCTCAGCATACAATGAGTAAGCATGGTGAAAGAATACAACCCTGTCGCACACCTTTCTGAATTTTTAAACCATTCATTGTTCCCATGTTCTGATCGAACAGCTGCCTCTTGGTCCATGTACCGATGCCTCATGAGCACGACTAAGTGTTCAGGAATACTCATACTTCACAGTGTTGTCCATAGCTTGTCATGATCCACATACTCGAAAGCCTTTGCGTCGTAAGTAAGCATAGTAAACATCTGTCTGGTATTCTCTGCTAGTGGCATGTAATTTTATTAATCTTTCAAAGAACCAATTTCATTTATATTCTTTGTATTTTTTATTATACTAATTTGTAATTTATTTTCTTAGTATATAAATATTCTCACAAACTTAATAGTGTTTTCACTCTTGTATTCCTCCCCTTGTCTTCCTCTGTCTTCCTCTTTTCTTTGCCAGTCTCCCTCTTGTTATATATTGCCTTCCATGTCACCCAAGTTAATGTGTCTACACTCTAGCCTGTGAATAATTTTCCCTCCCCTTCTACTCCTAGTAACCATTGTAATATTTTTTTTATATTAAGATTACCTCTTCTTAATTTTTACAATAGTGATCTCACGCAATATTTGTCATTTTGTGATTCATTTCATTCAACATAATTTCCTCCAGGTTAATCCATGCTGTGAGGCGTTATGTAGATTAATCATTATTCTTCAATGTTGCATAGTATTCTGTTGTGTATATGTCTGTATTAAGTCTTTCTTTACAAAAATATTTAAAAGCAAGTAGTATACAGTGAATAGTAAAGTGCAGATTCAAATTAACATTTTGATTAATAACACCAATCGTCTTATTTTTTTCCTGCTTAACATCCTTATTTCCCCATTTGATCTAAATAATTCTGCTAGAGTATTGTTTTTCTTAGCTTTTTTAAGTGTTATTTTCTGCTTTCTGTTGCTGTCAAATCAATTCTGATTTAGCAACCCTGTAGGGTAAAGTCGATCTGCCCCATAGAGTTTCCAAGGCTGTAATCTATGGAAGCAACCTGCCACAGCTTTCTCCATTGAGTGGCTGATGGGTTCAAACAGCCAATGTTTTGGCTAGCAGCCTGCACTTAACCACTGTACCACCAAGACTCATATTCTATTTTAGGAACTTATAATAGTTACTTGGAACCCTGGTGTGGCACTATGGGTTAATGCATTGGACAGCAGTGCTGCTTTGAACCACAAGGTTGGCAGCAAGCTCACTAGCCACTCCTTGGACAGGTTACTGTGTGTTGGAACCAAGTGAACAGCACTTAACAACAACAATAGTTACTGACTCCCTACACAATTACCAGTAATCTCTTTGGTCAGTCACTCACCAAGCTCCCTGTTTCCACAGTATAGTTCAGCTCTATAATCTGCTTAGCATAGATTCTTCATCATCAGGGTCACACATGAGAAGTTCACGTTTGCATTTGTTTTAGATTCTGGAAAGGCAACCTAGACCAATGAGAAGAACACAGTTTGGGGTACAAGTTACACCAGGGCTTAGATTCTCTACTGTTCCTAGTTTTGTAACCATGGACAAATTAGTTAGATTTTGTGACATGGTGAAAAAAATTTTTTTACAGGATCATTGTAAGCGTTAAATGAAATAGTTGGTAAATTGGCCTTTTCTGCAGTAAGCTTCTGAAAATATTGCAGCCTGGGAACCCTATGGAGAAGTTCGTTTTTGCCCTATAAGGTTGCTATAAGTTGGAATCATCTCTGTGGCAGTGGATTTGCTTTGGATTTTGGTTTGGAGTTTAGTAGTTTAACATGTACAGAGGAATGAAGCTAGATGGGGAAGTAACAAAAATGCAGTACGATATGTAACCAGGAGCCATACAAACCAGGAGCGATGGCTGCAGTGCACTTCATCCTGTCTTTCTGGGTAGATTTTAAGTATGTTTAAGATAAGATTTGTGATTTCTATTGCTTTTGCTTTAATTTAGAGATTTAGAGTGTGTGGCCTCTCAGTAGTTTTCTTGACATGAGTTTCTGAAGAAACCTTTTAATGAAGTCAGCAAAAAAAGGGACAGTTGATTCTGTTTCTGTTACTTGATCTTTAAATACTTCCCTTTTTATTTGTCTTGTTTTCCATAGAATGGTCCTAGTGCCAGATCGTGCCATAAAATGTGCATTGACATTCAGCGAAGGCAGATCTACACATTGGGCCGTTATTTAGATTCCTCTGTGAGGAACAGCAAGTCTCTGAAAAGCGACTTCTATCGTTACGACATTGACACTAACACATGGATGCTGCTCAGTGAGGACACTGCTGCTGATGGAGGACCGAAATTGGTGTTTGACCATCAGGTTTGGTGCACTGATACATGTCTGCTGGAAACACATGGTGCTCAGTAACTCTTGCTTTCAGGGTACCGTTCACATGTTATGCTGCAGTGCCCCTTAGTGGTGCCCACAATGAATGCAGGGCAGACTTTAGAGTGGAATAACCACAAATTCATAGTAAACATAGGTAGATATTTGACATATACTAAATTCAGTGTAAGCTCGGCACAAAGAGGAACTTGTAGACAAGACTCCATAAGGCATTCTTTGAGCCTTTCTCATGTTAATATGCATATTGCTGTGGTAACCATCCATATCGGTGTCTTTGTCATCTGTCTTTGTGTACTTATCCCAGATCAATGTCTGAACCAAAACAGCCAACCACTTATGTTCTCAAGGCCGTTTTACTTGTGTAATCCAACCTATGTTAAAAGTGGTTATGGATTAATAGTGGGGAAAGCTTAAAAGTATTTGTAGCAATGTGTAGATAATTAGATAATGTAGCATTGTATACAATTTGTGAAATAGGATGTAGTAGTTGAATTATGACAGTTAAAACCTAAGTCTTTATTTACTGTGTCTTTACAGATTTTTGTTAATTCTTTGCTTTAAAACTGTCTTACTACTAGCATATAAGAGAACTTCACGAAGCCCATGATAAAAATTTCAATATCCTTTAATTCCATTTTTTTTTTTTTCCCCCACAAAATTTTTGAAGTCCTCTCTCATTTATGTCAGCAAGTAATTGCTATGGGAGTACATAGTATAGAAAAAGAGGCACTGGTTAATTGCCTGTCAAGTAAGAGGCAGATAAGATATCAAAGGCATTACTCTCAAGTAATGCTTACATTTAGTTTGGAACTTCTGTTGGTTCTGTATAACTGAGCTCTGCAAAGCTCTGCACACCCTACTCACAGCCTCATTGTTGTTCAGGCGGAAAGCAGGAACTCCTACACAAGTTGCCTGCCTTCTGATCTTTCACAAACAGAGCATCAGCAGACAACAAACAGAAGAACGGCACCATTAGGGAAACAACTGAGTTTTGCTCCCAAGTGGTTATACTTTTCTTTTACAGAGAATGTTCATGTCTTTATTTTTGCAGGTTGATATAAGGAATAGTTTAGTTTGACTGAGGCACATGTAGAAATCTTGTGTGTGGTCTTTGTCTATCTTGACTTTGATAAGATAAGAATATTCCTTGGAAGCTAAGCTCTGTTAATAATGCTTCATTTTCAACTGAGTAGACAGTGTAGCGGACAACTAGTCAATGGTTGGGGGTGGGGGTGTCCGAGAAACCAGGACTTAGTCCTAATTCAGTCCATAACTTGCTCTGTGACCTTGAGCAAGTAATGTGATCTGTAATGTGTGAGCAAGTAATAAGCCTCCATTTCCTATCTGTTTCATGCAAATTAAGATAAATACATTAGAAATGACTCCAAAATCACTGTTGTTCATGACACTATAGGATTCAATACTTAGTGTTCAAATTAACAATAACATGAGAAAGCTAGAGGTAGAAAGAAATATTTATGTTACTCTTCCACTTAGATAGAGTTCAACACTAAAAAATAAAAATCTAGAGCTTCTGAATCTAAACACTTAGTTTAAAAGTGTTGTACATTGTTGTTTTGTGGGACTTTCAGAAGCAATGAGAACCAAACAAAAAATGGAAATAAAATCACCTAATCAGCAAAACTAGGATCCAAATAGAGCCCTCAACGCCTGATTCCCTGGAAGTTAAGCCAAAAACAACTGAAATGCCCAGAACCTGTGTTGAAGACTGCAGCCTCCAACATTGCACTGAGACTTGGAAATGCAGAGAGCTTAGCATGGTACATCACAGTAGGAAGTGTGACAAGTGGAGCAGAGATTGAACTGGGAGCAGTCAGCGAGATATGTGGGAAGTGCTCAGAAAGGCCCAGAGATGGTAGATGTCAGAAAGCACTATGTTCTAAAAGCAAGAGAAACACCATGACAAGAAGGAGTAGAGGATCCTTTTGTCAGTGGCCAGTGGAGAAAGTGGGCTGTCCAAAGCCTGAGATAGAAGCCCTCCTACAGCAGATGAGGTTCCCACAGTTAACTAAGGAAGGCTTAGCTTAGTTATTCTGGGGGGAAACCACAACAAAACTCACGCAGCATTGTGTAAAGTAGCAACAGGGTCCTTCGGGGAGTAACATCTCCTTGCTCTTGGTACCTTCTGTTAAATTAGTTAGTCCAGGGAAATTTCACTTAGTTAAGTAGGAAAAACAAAGAGTAATAGACACCAGAACTTTTCTTAAAAGAAAAAAGGCAGCAAAACTTCCTTATAGGCAACAGCAGGTGCAAATTACATCCCAACATTTTAACCTGAATGAAATGCCCGGATGAAGTTTGATACGCGAATGAAAGCATGTGCTCAAGAATTCAAATAAGGTGGACTGATAACAGAAGCAGGTGGGACTGGATCTCATAAAACTCAGAAAAGATTGAGGAAAACATATTCCCGTTTTCAGAAATGAAGACTAATCTACACGGGCCATATGGGAGAATAGCTAAGGAGCCTATAAATAGAAATAACCAATAGATCTTTAAAATAATTTCTAGCCAAATGTTATGAATGGTGAAGACAGGCAAACAGATCCAACATACACATAATTAGAGTCCTTTAAGAAGAAAATCCGAATCGGGCTGCGAACCTTAAGGTCAGCAGTTCGAAACTACCAGCCGCTCCACGGGAGAAAGATGAGGCTTTCTACTCCCGTAAAGATTTACACCCTCGGAAACCCTGTACAGGGTCACTATGGGTCGGAACCGACTCGCTGGCACTTAACAACAACAACAACAAGAAAATCAAAACCGTAAAAGATAACAAATATTTATAAATAAATTTTAAGGAAACTTTCCTGAACAATACCTATAAACATTAGGTTAAAGATTTGCTAGTGAAATTAAAATCTCAGTAAATTGCTTAAAAAGCAGAACGGACACACCTATGATAAGTTAATGAACTGAAAATTATGAGTGAAAACTTAAGAAACATGGAGAAAATGATGTGAAGTACCAACACAGAGGTAATACAAATCCTAGAAAGAGAACTTGGATGCAAGAAAAAAAAAAAATGAAAAGTTTCCCACAACTGAGGAGACACGTTCTCAGATTAAAAGGAATCACCAATTACAGATCAGGATGAATGGGAGAAGAAACCCTTACTTAATGATATTTTAGAATCAAGGATTAAGAGAAAATCCTGACTGTTGCCAGAAAGAGAAAACTCGTCACTGTTGTAGGTAAGCAAGAGTCAGTTTGCTGTCAGGCGTTTGACGAGGGGTAGGTAAGCAGAGGTATTCAGGTCACAGGAGGCAAAGTTCATCACACATAGAAATCTGTTTGAGAATTGCCATTTTTAGTTTGTTTCTGTATTTTACAAGAGCACAATTTGTAGAGTTTTGTATAATAAATACAGAGACGTGAGTTTAGGTGCATCACTCTTAGGCATGTATAAGGGAACTTCAAAAAGTTTGTGGAGAAATGGAATTAAAAGATATTGGAGTTTTTTTTTTTTACTAACTTTTAAAGCTCCCTGTGTCTGCTTTCTTATTAAGGATAATAGTAGGATGCATGCCTAGAAATGCTGTAAGGAGGGCTATGTTCAGTATTTTACCCTTAAGTAGAAATATACTTCAACTATACCTCACGTATTATTGGTTGATTCTGGTAAAAATTCTGCAGTTTCCTGAATGTATGAAGTTCTTTAACCCAACCTATTTTACTCTCACTGGGAAAAAATGGAAATTTTTAAAGTGTTTATTTACTTAGAATCCATTCTGAATTGCCATGTTTTGCAGCATATGATAAACAGGGATGATATTTAATGTCGTTACACATAAAATTCCGATTTTTCAAGAATTTAAAACTGGTCATGTTGGCTTCACTTTAGTACATATGACAGGGATGAACTAAAGCTTTCCAATCTCTTGCCTTGCTCTAATAGATGTGTATGGATTCAGAAAAACATATGATCTACACGTTTGGTGGTAGGATTTTGACATGTAATGGCAGCGTAGACGACAGCAGAGCCAGTGAACCCCAGTTCAGCGGGTTATTTGCTTTCAACTGTCAATGTCAAACCTGGAAACTTCTTCGAGAAGACTCCTGTAATGCTGGACCTGAGGACATCCAGTCTCGGATAGGGCACTGCATGCTGTTCCACTCTGTAAGGATACTGTGCGCATTGTATGTTGCTGTTTTGTGAAGTATATCGCAGTTGGAAAAGTGATGAAATCTGATTCTTCAGTAAGAGATCAAAAGTTCTCAGGAGAAATAAATGAGTAATACAGCAGTGATAGGAAAAAAAAACAAAAACTTTTTTTAATGGGGGACTGTTTGCTAATTATGAGACTTGCCATGGACCTAGTAATTCCTAACCAGTTGCCACCTGAAATCCAGCTGACACCATCCCTACTTCTCTCCAAGCGCTGCACCTCGTTTCCTTTCTGAGGCTGTTCCACTTACTGGTCTCGCTTAGTAATTGGAAGAGGCATTAGCTGTGAAGCATTAAAAATTGACTTTTCAGAATTAGAATTAAAATTTGTCAGCAAAAACAACTTTGAGACTTTTCTTTTACCTTTTCAAATGTTCTAATGAGAAATTTAGGTTTCTTTCTGTGAACAAGAGCTTTAAAAAGTATTACAGAATATTTGAATCGTTTTACCCCAGAAGGAAGAATAATAAATGTCTGTGTAGCCATTTGTTAGTTTCAACAGCTGTCAGTATTGAGCTGTTCATTTTTTTATATACTGCCTCGCTTTTCCTTCATTTCTTATTTCTTTAATTTTTAAATTTATTCTTAAATTTTAGCATGGTAAAGTGCTGGAAGCAGACCCTGAGCATTTGATCATTCACTGCTCTTGTAAATATTACAGTGCGTGATCCTTAGCACATAAGGCTTTTTACCAACAGGGTTGCAATACCACTATGACCCCAGCATTGCCTTTGCACTGGTTCCACCTGTGAGCAACCCCAGAACAGAGTAGAATGACTGCTCCTCTGGGTGTCCAAGACTGTCCATTTTTATAAGAGCATACAGCCCCATCTTTCTCACTTGGAGCAGCCAGTGGGTTTCATACTGCCAGCCTTGAGGTGAACAGCCTGCTATTTAACCCACTGCAACGCTAGGGCCCTTTGCTATTATAGTATCCAACCCACCGAAATTAGGTTTCTAAACATACTCATTCTGTAGTCATGTTTTTAATGATTTATTGAAAAAATAACCACAGTTTTATAGTCTGGTTCCAAAAAAGATGTAGCGGATGCATTTGGTTGTTATGTCTCTTACTGTGTCTTTTAACTCACAGTAGTGCTTCCTCTCATTTTTTCTCCCTCACATAGTACGTAATTTTAAAAAAAGAGTCATTGTACAGTAGAATTTCCCATATTCTGTACTTGGCTGACTTTGAGCCTTATGGTATCGTTTCTGGAGCTCTGGGGGACAGTGAGTAAGTGCTCACTGCTAACCACAGGGTCGGCGGTTCTGACCCATCAACTGCTCTGAGGGAGAAAAGACCTGGTGATTTGCTGCATAGTGATCATATAGAGATCTAACCCTGCATAGTGATCACTATGCAGCCACTGTGAGTTGGAATCTCCTACTTAACCCACAATAACAAGTCATTGAGCGTGTTTCTGTCTCTTCCATGTTTCCTGTAGCTGGCAGTTAGATTCACTTAGCTTATTTGTGGGGTCATAGGGAGGAGTGCAAGAATACTTCATGTCTCCTTTGATTTCATAGTATCAAGAGACATTTAATGTCTTCTTTTCTTATTCTTAAGGAACCCTGGTGCACAGTGGTTAACAAAGTTCAGATGCTAAACACAAGGCTGGTGGTTCAAACCCAGCAGCTGTTTCGGTGAAAGATGAAGCTGTACGCTCCCTTAAAGATTTATAGTTTCAGAACCCTGTGGAGCATTTCTGTCCTGTAGGGTGACCTTGTGTCAGAATTGAATTGTAGCAATGTGTTTTTGTCATACTTTTGAGGGTGTTAAAAACTATCCAGTGGGTTCAGGTATTATCATTCTGACCAATCAGTTTTAAAGTTTCCTGTCAACCATTTGAACTCCTGGTATGGTGCTGTAGGATCAGCACTGGACTGTGAACCACAAGGTTGGCAGTTCAAACCCATCAGCTTTCCTTAGAAACCCTGTGCAGGGTAGCTATGCGCTGAAACCAACTCCACAGCACTTAGAGCAATAACATCAATAGGGGTTCCAAGGAGTGGCTGGTAGGTTTGAACCTCCGTTCTGTACTTAGCAGTTAGTTCAGTGCCTATCCTGCTGTACCACACCAGGACAACATGGTTATTTTCCTACTTATATCAGTCCTTCTGTATGGCTTCGTTTTTGAAAAAAAAAAGAACTTGCCCTCATCACCTGGTTTGGTCATAATGAAACGTAAGCAAACTACAGAGGATAGAGAGTGTAAGTGTTTGCTTATTTTCCTTTGTTGTTGTTTTCTAGTTAATGAACTGATGCTCCAAAGTTAACCAGTCAGTGGTGTTTTTCTAAAAAAGTTATGGAACTCCTGGATTTTGATCTATTTCATGGGTTTAATCCAATGCTGTCATTTTTCTCTTTAATGCTCAACTTGCCCTCTCTCTTAGCCAGTGAGGCCCTTTCACATTGGCGTCTATGTCCTTTTGACAGGACCCTAGTCTTTGAAATTCCCCTTGCTTCCAGGCATATTTCCAGACTCAGTCCTGGAAATGACTGTTTCCCCAAGGAGCTCTGATTTTCTAGAGGGAAATAATATTTAGAGGCCAAAATCTGGGAGTTGGAGTGTTTTATGTTAAATGGTTGACATTGTTTTTAGGTTTCTCTTATAGACAGAGCTAGGATGCACACACACACATTGAATAAAGATTACAGTTTTATTTTATGTTTGTGCGTCTTTCAAGGTAAAAATCTTACTTCCTCATGACAATATGGAGTCCTGGTGTTGCGTTGTGGGTTAATGCACTGGTCTGCAAAGTCGCTTTGAACCATCAGGTCAGCAGTTCAAGCTCACCAGCTGCTCCTTGGAAACCCTATACAGGGTCACTGTGGTTCAGAACCAGATCAACACACACAACGATAGCAATAACAATGACAGTATTATATTGCTTACTTGCTCTGTGTATAAACTTTGCATAGTAGTTTTCAAAATAACAAAACCAACACCAAAATCACTGACTTTTAAAGATTGCTTTCTGATTGTTTTTCTGTTTAGGATATAGTCCACTAGTAGTGGCCAGACAGCAATGTGAATTAAAATCACTAGAGGTACTCTAATTCTCTTTGTGGTTAGGCCATTAATTTATTAATTTTATACACAGATAGTGTTGTTTCTTTTTCACTCCAAATTTAGAGCTTTTTTTTTTTTTTTTCTGTTGGATTAGTTTTGTTTTCTGATTAGATAAAAACATATGTGGACTCTAAAGTCAAAACTGTAAGATCACGTCACATAGGTAACTAGCTTTTAGTAAGTTTGAGTTTATTCTCCCCATGTTTCTTAGTGAAAAAAGAAATCTACGTGTGCATCCCTGTTTGTCCTTTCTTAGACAAAGGCAGCACCCTTTATTATTGGGCATCGTGCCTTTTTACTTCCCCATAATATCCTAGAGCTCGCCCCCTCGTGGGAGAGAGAGCATCCTCATTTTGTTTATAGTCAAACACCCTCAGCACACCCCACCTCGTCACTTCTGTTTGCCTCAGCGTAGTGCTCCATGACAGGGGGTCTGGCAGGAGACTGCACTTGTAGAGGCTTAAATTCTAAAACACTCTTTTTGAGTTCTTCATGGAAGCAAATATCTTTCCTTTGTCCTTTTTTTTCTTTCTCAGAAAAATCGTTGCTTATATGTGTTTGGTGGTCAGCGGTCGAAGACCTATTTGAATGACTTCTTCAGTTATGATGTGGACTCTGATCATGTAGACATCATATCAGATGGCACCAAGAAAGACTCTGGGATGGGTAAGGGGGTCTAGGGAGTCTTCTCTTGTATCTATTCCAGATTTGTTTTGTTTTGTTTGTCACCTCTTCCCCCTTTCTTTAATTGTCGTAATTTGAGTAAGAAGAAGGAAAGTCTAGCACCTAAGTTAGCAGGTTATATCTGTTTTAAAATATATGAATTATCATTCCCTTTGAGCAGAAAGATAATATGTGGCGTTTTAAAACAGTTATGGTGTGTATGCTTGGGGGGAAGGCTTGGAAAGAATTAATACTATAAAACTTTATCATTTTCTATTTTCGGATCCTTTCCACCTTCTCTGTGTTATGCTGTAACATAGTAGGGTATATGGTTTTCCTAAAGGAGATTTCATATGCTTGGTAACGCCTTACAAGTTAATAATCTCAGCCTCTAAGAAACTATTCTTGTCACCAGGGTGAGCTAGTACCACTTGATGCGTGGTATCCTAGCATAATTGTGCAGGTTCTAGTGGATTGTCCAGACTGAGATGGACTAGGAATGAAGGCCCAGCAACCTGCTTCTGAAAAATGGTCTGTGAATCGCAGTGGTATGATCCCATAGTACATGGTATCACTGTGGGTCCAACCAGAAGACAGGATGCTGATATAAAAATGACTCTGACCCTGAAAGCACATTCTGATGCATTTCACAATTTATGTATCAGACATGAAGAGAAAGTCCTAAACATTTCTAGAGCAAAACCAGGTCACGTTTGAAGAACAGGATGTAGAATGATAAAGAAATGTTCACAGCATTGTATATCAGAACTCTCCCAGGCGACTTTGACTTAACTTTCACTGGCTATAATTGAGAACTAGCTTCAAGAGAAGCTAGGAAAGCTAGTTTCCAGTTCTTCCAGCCTTTACATTGCTGTGGTGGTTGAGTGTTCTTGCGTTGGTTCTGGCTCATAACGACCCTGTACACCACAGAACAGTACACTGCCCGGTCCTGTGCTATCCTCACAGTTGTTACGTGTGAACCCACTGTTTTTGCTACTGTGTCACAATCCGTCTCCTTTTTGCTGTCCAAGCATGATGTCCTTCTCTAGGGATGGTCCCTCTTGATAACATGTCCCGAGTATGAGAGATGGAAGTCTTGCCAATCCAGACTTCTCGGGAGCATTCTAGCTGCACTGCTCCCAACGCAGATTTGTTTATTCTTCTGGCCTTTTGTGGTACTTTTAATATTCTTCTCCAACACCACAATTAAATCAGTTCTTATACAGTCTTCCTTAGTCATTGTCCAGCTTTCACATGCATACGAGGCGACTGAAAATGCCATGGCTTGGGTCAGGTGCAGCCTTGTTGTCCTCAAACTGGTATCTTTGCTCTTTAACATTTTAAGAGGTCTTTTGCAGCACATTTGCCTAACACAATATGTCATTTGCTTTCTTGACTGCTGCTTCTGTGAGTGTTGATTGTAGACTAAGCAAATGAAATCTTTAACAACTTCAATCTTTTCTCCATTTTTCATGACGTTAGTTATAGGTCCACTTGTGGGAAGTTTGGTTTTCTTTACATTGAGGTGCAGTTCACACTAAAGGCGGTATCCTTTGATGTTCATCAGTAAGTGTTTCAATTTTCAGCAAGCAAGGTTGTATAACCTGTATATCATTGGATGTTAATAAGTCTTTCTTCAGTCCTGATGCCATGCTCTTCCTTATGCAGTACATCTTATTGGATTATTTACTCAGGATACAGATTGAATAAGTATGGTGAAAGAGTACAACCCTGGTGCACACCTCTCCTAATTTGATGCCATTCAGTCTGTATGTTGTTAAGTGACATCTAGTCAGTTCCAACTCATAGTGAGTGACCCTGTATAGGGTTTCTGAAGAACAGCTGGTAGGTTTAACTGCCGACCTTGTGGTTCACAGTTCACTGCTGGTTCTACAGCGCCTCACCAAGAGTCTAGGCTTTATGTGTTGGTTATTTTATGTGTTGTTATTAAGTGTGTCAGGTCAGTTCTGACTCATGGTGACTCTGAGGAGCAGCTGGTGAGTTTGAACCACCGATTGAGTCAGATAGTCGTGTCTTCAGCAGCACAAGACTGAAACAGTATATGCCAACAAAAGGAAGTAAAAGTAATTTAAAAACAAAAACAGGAGTTAGGCAAAAGGATCCAACAGAGGAACACAGTAAAGGGACTTCCAAAGATACCATTTGCATAGCATGCCTAATGGGGAGCAGCAGGAGAGAGGAAGGGAGACCACTTCTCTCCCTCACAGGAAGTGAGCTCTCCAGAAATCGTGAATGCATTTGAAACAAACAACCACTGATAGAGCAGTAACATAGCTTACCCTGTTGTAGTACTGTAGGATAAGCACTGGGCTGCTAACCACCAGGACAGTGGTTCAAACCCATCAGCCGCTCCATGGAAATCCTATAGAGGGTCGCTGTGAGTTAGAAATGACTTGATGACATGTAATAGCAGCAGCAGCAGGAAGGTGCATGGTTTAATCTTTCACTTTCTTGTCGCTTAGAAGTGTTATTCTAACTTCTCTTTTAATTAACTGGGAGGATTCAGGAATAGACACCTGCAGTCTGCTATGTCTGAAGAAGGTGGTGAAGATAATAACAAATAGTACAGTGTTTGTTGGCTCAGTGCTAGGCCAGGGATACAGTTGGAACACGTTGAGTGTGCTGTCCAGTCGGTTCTGACTCATAGCGACCCTGTATACAGTTGTTCAGCTGTAAATCTTTGCAGGAGCAGAAAGCCTCCTCTTTTGACTGGTGGATTCAAACTGCTAATCTCCTGGTTAGCAGCCCAATGCGAACCGACTACACTACAAGGGCTCCTCGCTTATAGACCATCTAGTAGATAATCTAATATTGTAATGAATAATAATAGCGACTCTTTATTTAGACCCTACCATGTGCCAGATGCAAACTTGGAGTTTGATAAATATCATCGCTAATTGGTGGTATTACTCTCATTAAGCAAAGTATATAATATATTCAGCATTATACAACTATTTAATGGTAGAGCTGGCATTTAGAACCGAGAGTGAATGTTTGATTAGTGCTAATTAAGCTAAGGAAATACTTTTAAGAATATAAAACTGATGGGTTTTCTTGCTTGCTTAGACTTTTAAGCATTTTTCTTGCCCTCAGGATAAAGTCCAAACTCAACTAAAGCTCACAGACTCCTTGCTGTGTAGCCTGTTCACCGCCCAGTTCTTGTCCCCTGTGTTCACTTTGCCACCATCTCTGTCTCAGGACCACTGGACTGGAGTGCTTCATAGATGGACTACTTTGTCTGCCGCAGGACTTTTGTCCGTACCCTTCCCCCTCCCTGAATCACTTTTCCCTTCCATCTTCAAAATCTATCTAACTTGCGCTCAGATTAGCTGTTAAAGCCTACTGCGCTTGCCTTATTGGTTAACACAGAAATCTGGGTACTCATATGGCATTATGGTCTTGACTCTGCTTTTCAGAACCTTTGAAAAGCTCAAGTGAACTGCTTGAGGCATTGAGCGTGTCAGAAGTATGGTATATTGTCTTCCCACACAATTACTTTTATCTCATTTTTGAAAGTCCAGTGGGGACTCATGTGTTCTGTAATGCTGAATTGTTTCAGTAGAGCTTTCAGACGAACACAGACCAGGTAGAAAGGCCTGGCTGGCTGTTGGCAAACACCAGCCAGTGAATCACAATAACCTAAGCCTATTGTGCCCAAGGTCACCAGGAGTTGGGGAATTTTTTTTTTTTTTAATGCTAGGAATAGCCCTTTTGGGGATAAGGCAGGTAATATTTAAATTCCTGCATTCTTATTCATGGAAAACACCTATTTCTTGGTTTCATAGTATGATGTAGCTTCTCTGTAGTAGTTAGTCATTCTTTTGTTTAACGGTTCTTTGAGGCTTTATTACTATAGTTAATTATTATAATTTGAGACGGACTTAACTAATTATATATCTTTGATTCAGTAAGATGTCATGAAATTGAATTTTGATTGAAACGATAGAAGAAATTTGTTTGAACTGTCGGTACATGTTGTTTTTAAGTGCCATTGAGTCAGTTCTGACACATAGCCACCCTATTTATAGAGACTCTGCTTAGGGTTTCCAAGGAGCAGCTGGTGGGTTTGAACTGCTAATTTTGTGGTGAGCAGTCGAGTGCTTGTCCTACAGCACCACACCAAGGACTCCATTGGTGGTGTTGTTGTCAGGTGCCATCAAGTCGGAACCGACCCATAGCGACCCCATGCACAGCAGAATGAAACAATGTCCGATCCTGGGCCAACCTCACTACCGCTGCCACACTTGAGTCCACCAATGATGCCACCTGGCTGATCCATCTCGTTAGGGGTCTTCCTCTTTTTCTCTGACCCTCCACCTTAACCAGCATGATATCCTTCTCCAGCGATTGTTTCCTCCGGACAATATGTCCAAAGTATGAGAGACGAAGCTTAGCCATCCTGGCCTCCAAGGAGCACACAAAAAAAACAAAAACACCCATAAAGAGTAGCAATTTCATAATTAGCAGTATCACCTCTATTAGGCACTAATGGAGTCCTCTGCTAAAACTCTATGAATAGCAGAGGACTCCATTAGTGCCTAATATAGGTGATACTGCTAATTATGAAATCGCTACTCTTTATGTTTTGTTTTGTTTTTTTAACTTTTGTGGTTTGGGTGAAAGTTTACACAGCAAATTAGTTTTCTATTTATTTAACTTCTTATTGTGAATTGAGTGAAGGTGAACAGACAAGATCATTAGCTTTACATTCAACAAAATACGCGCTTTTTTCATTTCAGTGATTACACGCCCCTCCCCGTAACAGTTATCGTACTTCCTCCTTGTGGCTTCCTTTTTACATCTTTATATATTTCACAAATGAACAGAGCAGAAAGGTTTAATGTACACATATAAGACAAAAAATAGATATTAATTTAAATGTCCTGTGGACATATTCTGTGTGCCAGCCTCCTGTCCTAACGCATACAGCCTAACGCATCAGTTCATGGACCTAGAGCCTGAAGCTGCTCTGTCTCTATGCC